CAAATATAAAACAATACATTACAAATATTTTAAATGATTAACATACAACGTTAACTCATCAAGTGATAAATTTTACAATTTTGTCATACAAATACCATGTTTGATACAGAAAACTATCTCTTAATAAATTAGAAGTATATCTATCTAATTTTTTTAAAGTTCATTCACTATATTTTTCTAAAACACCGTTTTCTATAATAAATATTGTCTTGTATTTGATTTGGTGGTTAAATTTTTGTTATACATATAGTATGCTTATTTTTTAAAATATTTTTTGTGTATATATGTAACATGAAAATTAAAATATAAATGAGGGAAAATTTTTTAAATATAATAACATATATTTACGTGAAATTTTTTTAAAAAAAAATGATAGGTTAGGCTGGCCAACCCGCCACAACTCGTGAGTTATGCGGTGCAAGCTAAAGTAACTCACACCTTGGGGGTTATCAAAACGCCAACACTAACCCGCTTCTTTATGGGGGTTGATAAGCTGGCCTGCAGGCCTCAACATCATATTCCCAGTTCTACCAAAAAACAAAGGAGTATTATATAGAAAAGTAGATTGTTTTGGGACCTAGTGTGAGAAAAATTGTGTAATTATGCGCTTGTCTCTGGTTAAAAAAAAAAAGTGCTTGTGACCTATTTCCCATGATCGTCCGCACTGCTTCGAAAATTAGGTTTGATAATTCATTTTAAATTGATTTAAAAAAATATAATCAATGAAAACAATTTTAATCTAAAAATTTTGTAAATAAATATCATATTTTATCAGCTATTTACTTGAAGACAAGAATCCCTACTATTCGCGTCAACATGAGTTGGTACAAACAAAATATATCTATCCTAATTTTTTTCTGATTATTTTCTCTAATCAAATATAATGTTATTTGTAATTTTATAATTCTATCAAAGAACAAGAAGGGACTTATATGTGTGTGTGTGATTAAGGATTAGATTTTTGATATGAAAATCAGCTGAACATCTACACTATTTTTATATGTATCTTCATTTTTCATCAGCAGATTTCATATAACATCTGTCTCATGATTTTTAGTGTTTAGGAACATTTTCAGTAACTTCTAATGAAAAAATATATTCAGTGACAGAAACTGTCAAATTTGGCGTCATTAAATAAGTAACAGAATCACTGGCAATTGCTATGTCAAATAATTTAAATCCACATTAAATAGAGTGTGAAGATGAGTGATTGTGCTGAGATAGAGTCTAATATCATATATACTTCTATCTTCAAAATCAATTTGTATTAACCGAAACAGTCCTTTATAAAATTTAAACTACACTCAAATTTAACTACTCCCTCTGGTTCATAATATAAGTTGCTTCTAGAAGATTGGTTTAATTTAAAATACAAGTCACTTGGAAAGTATTTGATGCCTATTAGTCAATTTTGTCTCTGCAGTTAATACTTAAATATAACTTCTCGTGTTTTTCTCTCTCTCCTTCATAACCTTATTTAATATGGGTAAAGTTAGAAAAAAAAAATCAATTTGGAACAGATTTAATGAGTCAACTATCATTTTTTGATATTGAGAAATTAGTTAAAGTGACTTATATTGTGTATTAGTATACAAAACTAACAGCATGCAGGAAGTCTTTGCAGGAGGTCTTATTGACACAAGGAAAACAGAATTTCCAAATTGCTCATTTAGTGGGAAGGCTCACATAATCAGTGGGTCCATAAGGTTGAAAAAGTTCTGCAAAAAGGCTCCTTTTTTTTTTTTTCCCCTGGGGTTACCTCCCATGTCCTTGCAGAGTTGGTCATTGTACCAGATATTGCAATTTCCAATACATGACTTCCAATAATACCTCCCACCATATAGCTTCATATTGTCTTCCCAGATTTTTATTTCCTTTTCCATTTCTCTCACACAGGGCAGTTCAATTCTTCCATCAGAAAGCTTGCTAGCCACTTGCACCTCATTTCAAAACCATACAGATTTGAGAGTCCCTCTGCAAATCCTATTATTACTACTTGTGGGATTCTAGCATGAAGTATCTTTCTGCAATGTTATAAGATATTCAAAATATGGTCAGGTTTAGATTTTATGTCTTTGCTTAGTGCTTATTTAAGAATCTATCTGTGAAGGATAAGTTGTCAAACCTGTACAATGGAACTGAGGAAGTAGCTGAGGGGGTGATGAGATTTTGGAATATTGGTGATTTGAATATATTTCTGAGCTTTTGATCACCTTTGAACCCTGTAGCAAGAATCACCACATCTGTCTCTAATGGTTTTGATTCTCCATCAATGATTAAACCTTCTTTGCAGAACCTAAAGCCCTGTGATCTCTTTAGAATGATGCTTCCTTCTTCCACTTTGTCATAAAAATGTTGAGGAAGCATTCCAATCTGACATGAAGAAACATCTTGGAGAAAGCTTTGATTAGGTACCGATCGAAACTTATGCAGAGGTAGCTTCCATCTTAAGTTTGATTCAACAAACTTTGAGACTGCCTATCTCTGAAAATGCATAGAGGAATAATAAGCATTAAAATGATTGTTTGTGAGTATATCTGCATAGGGATATATGATGTTCTGGATTTACCAATGGTGAGAACAAAGCAGCCACAAGGCCAAGGAAAAATGATTCACCAGGCTTGTGAACTAAAAGCTCTGAGGAGCGATTGAAGTACAAGTAGCCAAGACTAATTCCCCAGATATTAGCATGTGGGAGCAACCAGTGTGCTGTCCTTTGAATCATTGTGCAGGGTTGTTCTATTCCTGCAAAGAAAGCATTGAAAGATATAAGTTTTATTCGTGATTTGTGAAAGCAAGGAGAAAACGGTATTAGTATTACCATTTGCAGATGCACACTCAGCTGTTATATCATAAGCAGATTTCTGAGAGCCTATTACTGTAACTCTCTTTGATTTGATCAATTTGGCAGCATCCTCATTTGCCATTGAAGAGAAGTCCATGGAGTGCATAACCTGGCCTTTGAACACTTCTGGGCCTTGTCCTGGAGAGAACTCAGGTATGTTTGGCAGACCATTATATTTTCCAATGCACAGAGCCACAAACTCAACTTCACACACCTGTACAAAATACCCAATATTGTAGGTAAACAGGACAACTCATTTTTCAGATTCTGTATTTGTTTGTAAATTACCTTACCTACCTTAATGGAAAGACTCTTGGTGTATTGCACTTGAAGAAGCCATTTTCCTTAGAGCCAAAGGGCTTGCCAGTTCCACCCCACAGATCCCAAGACTCGGTAATTTCTTCAGTAATCTCGCCAACATATTCAATATCAATGACTTTAGAGTTGAATCTGATGTAAGATAGGATCCCAAACTTTTTAGATAGGAATCCAGATACTGCAAAACCTGGATGCTACTTGGATACTCTTCTTTGACAGAAGAATCCCGTGGAAAACCAGAAAACCTGTAAGATTCTTTGCTGTTCTGAAGCTTGGTAGACACAATGGTGTGCCTCCAGAGTCCTCCTGTAGTCCTGTGCCATCTTGAGCTTCAAAGACGATGGGACGAAAGCCCTTCTCTGTTATGTATTTACAGGCAAGAAGACCACTGATTCCTGCTCCTATAATCCCCACTCTTCTTTCCATTCTTGGCTGTCAATACTTTGTTCTCTTTCTGATTTGAGCATAATAATAATAATAGTAAGCTTTAGATTTATTATATTGGTGCTTCAAAACGGTCAATACAAGTTGTTACTTTTTTCTTTGGGTTGTGTTTGTTTATCCTTATAACATAGAGCTTCGAGATTTCCGGGTCTTAGTTGAGCTTGATTTTTGGGAATTCATCATGACTATTTAATTGTTTTTGTATTGAAAGTTCAACTAGTGAGAATTTTAAACGGAAGTGACTCTTGTTATGAGCAGAACCTTTTTGGCCATTTTATTTTCGTTAACCAAACGTAATATTTTCGCTGATGAAAATCGAAACCAAATATTACTTGTCCAGTTTTAAATATAGGATCTATTTTGTAGGATAATTTACACTATAAAATAGATCTTATATTTATATTTAGAATCGAAGGAGTAGATGATTTGATAAATTGAACAATTTGAAAATGTATTAAAGTTAATTGTAATTGATTAAGCGCGTGTCTCTCTATATGTATGATTTGATGATGGTCCCGTTGATCATTTTGCTGATGGGTCAAATTATATTCTTTATTCACCTTAGGAGAATAATACATTATTCATAGAAAGTGAATTATATTTGGCAATATATTACAAATTTCAGGATATTTATAGACAAGTAAATCCAAAGATTTTAAGTATAAAAATATAATTACACCCACCCGAACTTATATATGTATTTTCTCTTTACCAGTCTTCATATGGTTACGGAAGGATATACATATTATATACATTAGTTGAACTTTAATTCAAAAATATTATGATTTCTTACACGTAAATCTGGTTAGATAAATATTTGAACATGTGAGCATCTATATAATGATTTTTTTAATATTTGCCTCACAATATTTAATATTTCTGAAGATCCAATAAAAATTTTAGTTTCGGTCAACCCTCCGTAATTAGGGAAAATTGAAAGGAAAAAAAGTCTCCTATTAAAAATTATATTGATGAGAATGACTCAATAAACCCTATAGGATTGATTTAACAGAACACCGATACTCTGATTAGATTATCTTTACGCATAAAATTTTTAATGGAGAATTTTTTTTCGCCCTATTTTTCTTTTTAATCAAGCAGGGTCTGTTTAGCTTTGAGTTTGGAAAAATAAATTTAGCACAACTGATTTATAAGATTGATTTTAATATTTGTACCAAAAAAAGATTGATTTTAATAAAATTAAAAAATAGAATTAAAAACCGTCCTTTTGGGTCTTAAAAAAGATTTAAGGTACATTTAAACAGGGACTAAAACTTTTTGTTTTGGAGGAAAAAATTGGACGGCAACGATGGCGGCAAGCCTGAGTTGAAAGAGCGGATAGAATCATTAAGAAACACAAGGCCCTGAGAAATTCATGGATAAAGAAAGAAACTGTATTAACTACTTCACTGCACTTTGAGAAGCTGCAACAATGGCGACTGCCATCAAACCTTGCCTTCCACTCTCTCCTTTACTCAAACGTAGCGTTTCCCCTCCACCTAATTCCTGGGTTTCCTGCAAGCCCAATTTCGACTCCCTCCAAGTCTCTCGCCTTGGCCATTATCATCGACCTCAATTCGCTGCCTCAGTTGCATTCAACCCTCAGGGGAATTTCGACATCTCTATGTTCGAAGAAGATGGTAACCGCTGAGCTTTTGCTCTCTCTTTTTTGTCTCTTCAATTATTTCTACCCTAATTGTTGTTGCGTTGTGTACCTTTCAAATGGGATTTTCTTCATACTTATTTACTGCTCGGAGCTGTCGTTGCAATTTGACTATCTATGCACTGATATGAAAATAATAAGAATTTCTTTACTTTTAGAGAAAACCGAGTTATTGTTTGACAGAAGTTTTTCCACCTGAAATAGACATAGGTAGAATCAGGATAACGCAGGGAGCTTGATGAAATCGTTTAGGACATGAAAAGAATTTTCTGGTCTTGGAGCTACGTATGAAATGTTGAATTGAGAATCCTAATGTGCACCACATGGTACAATTTGTTTGAACTTCCATAAGTTTGAAGGTTTTCACTACTGATCCAAAGTGTAATGTCAAGAATCCTATTGGGCCATACATGCTTAGGTGAGGAATGATCATTGATATGAGCTTGTGTGGGTGTGTGTGCGGTTTTCATTTCTTACCATTGTTGGCTTGCCATGAGATGATCCACACCTTTGGGTGCTATAGAGAAGCATGAAATTTCAGTAAATCACCTGCAGAGGATGCAGATAGTCTAGAAATTAATTTCCCCAGTTATCTATTTACACTATAATATCGTGAAGTTGTAGTGCTTGATATAGTTAATGGAATCTGTTAAACTATACTTCAACAGATTTTGGTTGACAGATACTGCTAAGGTTGAACCTCCTATGCCCCCAACTGAAGGAAGATTTGAAGTAGTTGTTGACAATAATGCTATTAGTAGCCTTGACTTGACCCCCTTTCAAGCTGCTACTGGCATGAAGTCTCCTTTATCGGGTATGATTCAGAAAACTTTGAAAGAAACCACAGATAGGCTATATACAAGTTGATACTTCATGATGGCAATTGGTTTTACAGTTAGTCCTAAAGAATATCTTGAACGAACAATTGGCTTTACCATCAACTACACTAGAGAAGATCCGGGCGATCCTCGGGAACTGTCGGAGTTTCCTGACAATAGACTCTGGTTTGTGAGGCTCGATGCTACTTATCCATGGCTGCCTGTCTTGCTGGATTGGAGAGCTGGAGAATTGGCCCGTTATGCTGCCATGTTGGTTCCTCATCAGGTGACTAAGAAACATTAATTTTGTGCTGTTATAGATCATAATAGAATTTGTCACATACATTCACTTCAACAATTTAATGTTTTGGTCATTTGACATTGTGGCGAATGGTCCAGATTCTTTTGACCCTCATCATTTCGTTTCTCTTTATTTTTCTTTAAATATATTAGACTACATACAGTCATTAATATAAAAGCTAGTTGACTGGTAGATTAAAGAAATTAGTTAAATCAATCATTTGTAATAAATAAATGTAGTCTTCCCTAAAATATCTTTTCTAATTACATATATTAGCTAGAACTATTATTTGATGAAACTTTAACATGTGCAAGTGTGCAACTACTAGGATTACTTTAGAAAAATATAGACAAATATGAGAGCCAAAGTGAATTAATATATTATGTTTATAACCTAATTGAATGTCAAACTAACTCTTTTATTAAAAACAGGAGGTAATATATACACTCACTTTTACGAATGTAGAAGATTTGAATGGTACACTTATATCTGGTATATATGCTACAGATGAATATGAGAATGGGAGTTGTGTTCAATCCCGAGGCACTGGAACTGTTTGTGATGAAGAAGGTGTTCATCGTGTACTCCTGGTTGAAGCATCACAACATTCCAAAACCAGAATTGAAGACAAATGACATGGCCAGGATGCTTGGATTTGGAATTGGGAATGAACTATATGACCTCATTGAGAGCCACCCACTTGATCTTTCATAAGAATTCATGACAAGCCCATATGGGTTTAGCTAAAGCGGCAGCTATGGATAATACCTCTCGCCTTTTAAAAAAAAAAAAAAAAACTTTACCCACACTTTTTGTGTTCTGCCATACTGCATATCAGTAGAGAGGAAGAAGATAAGGAGAGGCATCTATAAGAATTGACATATATAACGAGTTATTTTCATTGATCCAACAATGAAATAAAGGTAATTGTCTTGTTGATCTTGTATAATGTATACTACCTCCGATCTTAATTATAAAAGCTAGTTGACTGATTTGAGGAGATTAAAAAAATAAGTTGAGTTAGTTATTTGTAATAAATAGATGTTATCTTTTCTAAAATATCCTTACTAATCAAGTTTTTTGGCTAAAACTACCATTATGAAAAGACTATCTTAGAAAAAAAAATGGACAAATATAAAAGATAAAGTGGATTGAATATTATAATTAGGACTAAAATAAAAGTTAAATAAGGTCTTATATTAAAGAGAGCATGTAGTACGAATCTAAGTGGGGAAATGGGCAACAATAAGTATGTTATCAAACATTGATTAGTGTGTTTGCATTTGAAAAAGTTATCTTATTGATAAGTTGTGAATAGTACGGTTCATCTTAAGCTGAGGTTTATACAAATACACAGGCCTACTCTAGTTTGCGCATAGGATAACGATACTCTTATACATCTTAGAGCATGTCTGGGGGTGTCGGGCCCCCTTTGTTATTTTTGATTAAACAAAAACATAATCAAAACGGGATTGGTGGTGCAAAACGCACACCCCAAACGCACCGGGTGCAGTTTGGACCGAACAAGAGCAAGCCAATCTTATTGCCAAAACAGAGCACTGTTTTCTGTCACAGCCTATGCCCTTGGGTTGGGCTTATCTTCTTTTACGAAAATGAAAAATCCAAATCCTTTTCTTTGGGAAAGAAAATGATGGTAACGGACAGTTATTGAGAGCCCTTTTTTTTTGTTAATTTTGTCATCGACAATTGTAGACCTTAAACTTTGCTTCATTTAATTCATTATAATGTCAATCAATCTCTGTCATGATTATATCTATAAAACTTGTAAGAAGTCGCACCTTTCACACTCAGTAAATAGATCGAGTAACTTCACTTTTTTATAAATCCACGTAACATGAGACAACAAAATAATAAAGGAAACTCAACAAAAAAAATCTTTGAATTTCAAAATTCTAAATCAGTCTTGTTTATTACACTCTACTAACAATTAATAATATTTAAAAAGTAACTAACAACACATTTTATAATCATTTTGATTTGAAATTTTAAAATTTTAAAGGCATCATTTTGAGATTTTTCTAAACAATAATAAGAATATTGATCATTATTTTTTTTTTTAAAAAAGCTATAAGAAGAAGAAATCTTTAGGGAAACAAGCACGTATATATGTACTATAGCCATGTAGGTTGCCTTTTCAGACGACAAAGAAAGAAGAGCATTATTTCAAAGGACGTTTGTCCCAGCTAAGCTATATACACTATGCTTCATCACATGCAAATTTAAAACATCATGTGCGTTTTTAATAGAGAGAAAGCGAAGACTTTTGTGGAAAAGACACTTACCTAATTGATCCCAACGTCTTGTCTTTCACATGATGACAATAACAAACCCTGCATGCATGCACAGGCTTTTAATTTTTGGAACTTACTACATATTGCATGGAAAGAGCGAACCTTGAAGCAACGATAAGACTGATATCATGCGGTTTGAAATCACGGACTCAAATCTTGAAAATAATCTCTCCGCTTGTGAGGGTAACAATACGTACACCTATCTCTCCGCTTGTGAGCCTTATACACTGGGTTACCGTTAGAATTATATAGTTGCGTGTGTGTGTGTGTGTGTCATTTTTCAAGTCAATATATTCAAGGTAGAGCTAACTGATGAGTTTGATATAATTTGGTTAATTTCGTCCCCACAAGGAGACGAAAACCCTAATAAAAGAGCACCAAGGTCGACATTAAAATCTGAACCATATATTTTGTGGGGCTTCTTCGACATGGGAGGGTAGAGCCATTGTTCTAATTAATAACTTGCCATGTGATATATATATACTGAGAGACAAGTCCATGTGACGTTTTTAAAGGTCACTACTCTTAGGTATGGGGAAAGGCTATAAGAAGATGGATATATATATATATATATATATATATCCCTATGTATGGATGCAACTTATTCACGTCTTCCACAATTGATTTGTGTGTGTGTGTGTGTGGTGAGAAACATATATATGACATCACGTTCTTTTTCTGTTTACCCAAATGAGTAATAATGTTATTATGTTCCCTGAAAACGTACTGTGTTTAAGATAAAAACAAACCACTTTATGTAGCTCATGTATTTTATTTATTTTAACAATTTTATAATTTATTTATTCATTATACAAAAATAAGTAATTATATTAATTACTTTACTAAATGTTGTGTACTCTAATAATTCAGCTGAAGAGATACACACACACACACACACACACATTTTTTAAGAAAATCATTTTTAGGTATACATAGATAAAGACTGGTTCCTGTTGTTGGTTGACAAATGAACACTTGGGAGTAGGGTATGGCGTTGGGAAAAAATATATGCTTGGACAATGGACCCTATATATGTTTTTCTTTTTCAAATTTGTTTCTTTTTATTGATAGTTTCCCAAATTTGTTGAAGCAAAAATAGAGGCCTCTTCTACCCCACCAATAATGTTATATATAGACACACACATACACATAACTGTTTCATTGATGACATATTAACATGGTCTGCTTCATATATATTGACAAAAAGAAAATATGGTGTACGTTTCAATATGGATTTGGGGATCAATTTCTTCTTCTTTGAAGTTCCTTTTAACCCCCCCTTTTTTCTTGATATGCCATATATGGCTGAATTTTTTTCCAGAAAAAGATTTCCTTTTAATTAAGAATCATTTTATATTAAGAGGTCATGTAAATTTAGATAAGTACATATTAATACAAATTTTTAAAAAATAAAATAAAAATAAATTAGGGTGATTCAAATTTCAGTGCTGATCACTTTTAAGGAGCATCAAAACCATTTCCAGGTATCATCAATAGCTAATGAAGTTAGGCTTGATAATCTGATATACGAGAGTCTCGTCAAAAAAATAATCTACAAGTACTAGTCTCAAAGATTAAGATTACCATAACTCTGGTAATTAAATGTGGGACTTGTATAAATGTTTTTATACGGAAAATATTAATATTAATATATCCAAACCAAAAATCAAGGGAACAATATCACTAAGATAGTAATTATTTATCATGAATTGTAAACGATAATTAATAATTAGATGTTCCTAAACTGGGAAGTCCAGAGAAGCTAAGCCAAGCTGGAGTGTTTGGTTAGGAAGTGACAGATAATCCCAAAACAAGAACCCTAATTTTCTATATTGAAGAAAAAGTTAATGGTACACCTTTTAAGTGTTTTATTTTAGGGACTCCAAATTCTCACTTTGAGAAACATATGTCCCCATGTCGGACTCCTGTTCCTTATCGTAAATCCTAATTTTTTTCCTCTCATATATATATAATAATTAAAAGTTAGTAATAATTAACAACGTTTTATTATAATTTTAACTAGTGGTCATAAGAGTTCAAAATGATTGAGGGGGGGTGGCATAAATTATTAAAATAAGCGCACAATTAATTAAAATGAACTGTTGATCATCAAAACATGATGATGAGCCGATTCAGTGTTATTAGTTTATAAGGATTAATAATTTATTAATCTCGTGTTTAATTTCAATTTTTTTTAATTGATTGACCAGGCCATGATCCTTTTTTTCCTCATGAGTATTCTTTTGCTGGTACACCATTGTACAAACAGTATATGGTTGATGAGTTGTACGAAGATGATGATTAATTAGGTTATAAATAAATTATTTAGTATGAAAAGTGGTTAATTAATTAAGTGAAAGTATCGATTAATTAAGTGTGGCGTGTTCACTAGAACCAAAACGACAGTGTCCCCAAAAAACACATTCATAAAGCGCAATTCGTTTTGATAATGGCGACATATGCTCTGGACTTCCACCGGTTTCTAACTCTCGATCCCGATCTTTTCAACAGTGTACCAAACTACCAATACTGTTATGCATATTAATTAATTGTCATATTTAAATTTTAAAAAATGTATCAAAATTTTTCTCTATATACTTTCGAATATGTTGCAGAAAATATTTACAATATTTTATTTGGAAATAGAAATTTGATCGGTTAGCTTCATTGATCAAATATGAGATGTGAAACTTGCCAGGAAAATGGCAAAAAAAAAAAAAGACTGCCTAAATAGAAAAATTGCGTGCAGGAACCAGTTTATAAAAATTGCTATCAAAATTCGTATTCTTGTTGTCAAAACCCATATTAATATTATCACAAGTTTTTATTTGTAATTTTTCTACTTTGATGGTTTTTTTTTGTCATTTTTCTAATTTTTTATTAGCTACAACTTATGCAAAGAGCATATGCGTTGAAATGTAATTCAATACTACCCGGTCCTAATTATAAGACTTTGTTTGCTCAGGTCTTATAGTTAGGATTGGAGATAGTATAACATTTTCTAATGATTTTTCAAATATATAAATATATACTTGAAATATATACTTGCTTTCAAAATTCTTTTGGTTATTTAAATAATTGCAAACGAAAATTATTAGTATATGCATGCGTTTGCGTTTTAAACAAAAAGAAAGGAGCCTGAAGAATGAAGAATACCACATGACAGGTTCTGACAAAGTCGCCTCCCAGTGTTTCCCTGTTGCCCGGGGCGCTAGCATCCCTTGTGAAAGTGGCGGTGCCTACGTGTGCCTCTGTCTTCTTACATATACTATTCAATATTAATTCATGCACAAACCAAATTTTAAAACAATTAGTATCATTTTTTAAATTAATCCGAATTTAGTATTATCATTTAATCTAAAGTTAAATACTCCTTCCAAACTTTGATATAGGAGCTAGTTAGAAAAATGAGAGACACGTACACTAATACTCCCTCCGTTCCTTATTATAAGAGACATTTGATGCTTATAGCATGTTCCTAAATATAAGAGACACTTAAAAGTTGTCTCTAATTTTTTTGTTGATTTCCTATTTTACCCATATTTATTGTCTCCAACTCACACTCTCTCTCCTTCCCACTTCTCTTTCTTTTAAGAATTTACTATTGTTCTCTCTCATGCTCTCTCTCCTTATTAATGAGGGTATTTTTGGGGAAAAAATTATACTTTTTACACATTCATTGTCTTAACTAATTTTAACTGTTTTTTTATCAACGCAATCGGTTATTCGTCCCTATATAAGGAACAGAGGGAGTAACTTGAAGTTGAAAGTGGCGGCTTCATATTTACATGAGAACTTTCGTAACATCATCCTACTATGATGTCATTTATTTATATACTACCTCCGGTTCTAATTATAAGATCCAGTTGATTTATTGAAGAGATTAAGGAAGTAAGTTAAGTTAGTTATTTGTAATAAATAAGTATTGTCATTCCTAAAATATCCTTTGCTAATTAAGTGTATTGGCTAGAACTATCATTATTAGAAAGATTATTTTGGAAAAAATGCATAAATATAAGAGACAAAATGGATTGGGGTCTTATAATTAGGACAAACAAAAAGTCAAACGGGGTCTTATAATAAGGACCGGAGGTAGTATTATACTCCTCCGGTCCTATTATAAGACCCCATTGACTTTTATTTGGTCCTAATTATAAGACCCCAATCTATTTTGTCTCTTATATTTATGCATTTTTTCCCAAGATAATCCTTCTAATAATGATAGTTTTAGCCAATATACTTAATTAGCAAGGATATTTTAGGAATGACACCACTTATTTATTATAAATAACCAACTAACTTACTTCCTTAATCTCCTCAAATAAGTCAATTGGGTCTTATAATTAGGACCGGAGGAGTAATTTGCATGACTTAGTTTTAGAAGTTAATAATATAAATATAACTGCAAGATTATAAGGAAAATGCGGGCTGATAGTATGAGTATTAGACAAAAATTTCACCTTCACGGTTATGAAAAAAAGGAAATCTTTCATCATACTATCTCTTAACTTCGTTCTTAGTATAAGAATTAGATTAACATTCATTTAATTCTAAATATAAACCTCAATCAATTTTTTTATCATATTTATCCTTTTTTAAAAAAAATTCCTTATAGTAGTTGCAATTAAAGGTTTATTAAATGATAGTTTTAGCTAATATTTCCTCTATTTCTTATTATAAGATCCAATTTTTTTAATTAGTTTGTCCCTTTTTATAAGATCTCTTTTGGGTTTGTATAAACAATAAATGTATTTTTACCCACTTTACCCTTAGTTAATATACTCTCTCTTATTATCTTTTTCCAATACATTCTCTCCCATTTTTTTCTCATTCACACCTACCCACTTATAAATAAGGGCATATTCGGGAGAAAAAAGAGAGAGTACATTTTCAACATATTTATTACTTTTGATTAATTTTAAAAGTTTTTTAAAATCATAATATAGTTAAGTGGATCTTGTAATAAGGGATAGAGGGAGTAAACATGGTTAGTATGAGCATTTTAATAAAGACAACACCTATTTATTACAAATAACTAACTTAACTAATTTTTTTTAATCCCTTTAAATTAGTGAACAGGATCTTGTATTAAAAAAGATGGGAGCTAGCGTCTCATATTTTATAGATATGTTACCGTTTATATTATTTTCTCTCAGAAGCAACTAACGGACAAAATGACACGTAGGATGAAACGGCGATGCTCCTCCCATAAACGACGCCTTCCCCAATCAAAACGTTACCCATCGCCTTCACATTAACACCTCTCCTCTTCTACTCATTTCCCTTTCAATGAAGAAAATTATCCATAAATCCAGAAATTAAATACATATATACTCCTCCGGTCCTTAATATAGGACCCAATTTTTAAGTTGGTTTTGGTCCTAAATATAGGACCCATTTCTCATATTTATTAATTTTCTCTAAATTACCCCTATGGATACTCCCTCAACCATAATCAAGTAGAAGAAGGAGATGGAGTATTAAGAAAGATGATTGTGGTATTTTAGGAAAAATGTGTCACTTTTCTTATAATTAACTAACTTACCTAACTTCTTTAATCTAATCAAATTAATTAAATGGATCCTATATTAAGGACCAGAGGAGTATATCAAAAAATGATACTCCTCCAATCCTAATTATAAGACCCAATTGACTTATTTGAGGAGATTAAGGAAGTAAGTTAAGTTGGTTATTTATAATAAATAAGTGTTGTCATTCCTAAAATATCCTTACTAATTAAGTATATTGCTAAAACTATCATTATTAGAAGGATTATCTTGGAAAAAAATGCATAATATAAGAGACAAAATGGATTGGGTCTTATAATTAGGACCAAATAAAAGTCAAATTGGGTCTTATATAAGGACCGGAGGAGTATATTTGCAAGTTAAACTTATGTATATATAAGATAAACTTGCATGCTCACAATACATCTAAAATTTAATAATTTATGTTATAAATAAAATACTTTCATACTTTTAAGTGAAATAGTGTTATTTACCATTAAACTGGTAAAAAAAATGATTTTTTTGATCCCTCTCTAATGCTATATTCAACTTTCTTACATGAAACCTATGGATAATTTTCTCTTTCAATAATGCCGTGGAAGGCAAAACACAATACTACTTTCTCATCCCCTCTTCCTCTCTCTTCATAAATATGTTCGTTGAATCAATAATTCAGTTCTTCAAATCAGACAAATAAATAAGATAGAAGACCTAAGTATTTTCCTATTTAATACCCTTCCATGTCCAAAGAGATACTGCCACTTTTACATGAATAATATTTTTCTTTTTATACCAAAAAAAGTTTATTTCATTGATAGCAATAATAAATCTTTTTTGAGGTGATGAGAGTAAATTGGTAATAGTAGGCACCTCCCAACAAGATTTATTATGCGCGTAAGTATTAGAACGATTAGTGCCTTTTTTTCCCAAAAAAAAAATTGAATTGATCTAATGTTGCCGACTACCTGGTGATTCCTAAAAAACAATTGATTTGTAATTTATTATATTACTTGATGAAGTTACTATTACGGATCACAATTGTTTATTGTTCTTAAGAATGCAACAGAATTTAGATTTTATTCTCAGGGTTGTGCATGAGGATTGAGGATTGAGGATTGAGGAATGATCCAAAACTGGACTTATCATCAACCGGGCTCTCACAAGAGACATTTGTGTGAAACGAGGGAGGGAAAATTGGGAAAAAAAAAGACATGCTTTGTATTTTTGTTTCCCAAAAGTGAATGGGACAGAACATGAAGCTGGCATTATGGGAGCTTGCAAACACACGAACACATGTATTTGTGAAGAACAAAGCAAATCCACAGCCAAACTTACCGCCTAGGGTTCACAAAAAATTCTTCACTCCAAAACCCAAAAAAAGACTGCAATCAAACTTATCATTTCTCAAAACTTGATGTACCTCCCATGTTTCCTCTTCTTCTTGTACTTCCAGTTTTCCCAGCTTTCCTCTTGGCCTTTTCTGTCTTCACTTTCCAATAAAGAGAGCACCCTAATTGTAGTTTCTACACTAAACAAATTTCAATGCACAGTCTTCTTACTATTCTGTACCAGCTAAGCATGCACTTAAATGATGAGGAGTTCAAGTAAATTAGTAATTTAATTTCTATAGACATATAGTTGCACTTTAAGGAATGCCATAAGACAACAAACATAAACCCCATTCCCAGTTTAAGTTGAAGAATTTAAAATGTGGACCCCTCTGTCCTCTATATATATCTTCAGCGATCTATGCCCCTGCCAGTCAAGCTCTTCTTTGTGCCAAGATATATTCAAGCCACCACAAGAAAATCCTATCTATTTTCTTGCTATCCTTCAAACTGCTAGCTTCAAATGAGGCCTTCTTTCGTTTTTTTCTCTCCTGCTTGTGTCTCTCCTCCTTGCTAAGGTTCAAGGTAAATAATCACAAGATTCAGCAGTGAGAACTTCAGTTAAGACTTCTTTTTTCTGTTATTTAGCAGATGGGAGTTTCTGATTTTCCTTTATTTTTTCCATAGGGATTCGCTGGGACAGAGAGTCTCTAACAGTTCAGAAACAAGCACAACATGTAAGTTCTAATTACTTCTGAAGTTTGGTGCAGCTTTATGGGTCTGTTTCTTCATAAGTTTTAGCCTTCTTTTCAATCATACTTAAATGTAAAAGTTCACCTTTTCTGACTGCAGGATGAAGAAAGTACCTCGATGGAAAAAAGCAATGGAGAAGCTGAGGAGGTTATTCTCTGCAAAGACGACCAATGCACAGGTACCCTGAAGAGAAGACTCTCTAGAGTATCAAGAAAATCACTTAAATGGTTACCTCGAATTCATGAAGATTACTATGGACCCAGACACCATAGATCCAGACACCATTAGTTTTCTTTTTCTTTTCTTTTTCTTTTTATCCTTCGTCTTAACATAAGCATTCTTCATGACCTCAGAAACGATGCCTTGTAACTCTCGAGCAAAATTTGTCCCAACAAATCCTAATGACTTATTTTTTTTGGTTATACAGAACCATGCAAGACATTCTCGTTTCCTTCCCTTTTCCTGTCAAGCATCATTCAAGAAAATCAATTAGCACTAACCTGTACTCATGTATCTCATAATATTAAGCATCTTCTATATGTTCTTATTGCTGCAGGAAAGATAAAGAGTAGGAAACTTGTTACCACATCCATTTCATCTTCCAACGAACTTTCAAAGGTTGGTTTAGAGATGACAGAAGCTTTATTAACTTATTAGGCATTAACTCAGAATTAAAAAGATCCTCTTTATGATAGTATTACATGATCTATGGGCAGAATAAAGTGAAGAAGGAAGAGGATGAGGCTCACTCCTCTCTAAATGGCAATACTAGAAGGGTGAAACTTGATGGGGAACAAGAGGAAATAAAAGTTCAAACTTTGCCTACTTCAGAGCACCGGGGGCTCCATCATGAGCAGTATCCGGACCTTGTAGACATAACTGAGATGGACTATTCTCCAGCAAGGAGAAAGCCTCCAATACACAATTGAGTCTGGGGAAAAGGGAACAAGCAACTAGAGAAAGGGACAAAAGTTTTCAAGCTTAGCATATTAATAAAATATAGGCCAGAGAAGGTTGGACAGCATTACAGAAATGCTGCAGTTTTTCTAGGAATGATGACTTGTACATTATATAATATAATATTCTATTTTCATTATTGATTAATAATATCATTAGTATTTTAAGTGTTTGTCTATTTGATGATTAAGTTATCATGAGTATAATTAGGGTAGCTTTTCTTCTCTAGGTTCCTTAAACCCCGAGAAAGAAAGTGACATCAGTTTTCTTTCTTTATGCATCGTCAAAGCGTGCCTTTTGTCAGAACCTTCAAAGAACATAATCGGGGACCAAATTATTCAAAGATCTAAAAGTAAACATCTTTTAGTTTTGATCTTTGTTATACTATGAGAAGCCGAAAAGACACGTGCCCTTCTTTTGCTCCCTTAGAAAAAACTTTCCGCAACACACAGTTCATAAAGTAGATTTATATGACCCCTATTGAATATTTTCAAATGCACAATTAAATTCGGAGTGATCCATTTTCCCTTACTAGTTCATCATTCATTTCCAGTTTTATTTCATCTGATCTCAAATTATTTAATCAGCACGTCAGCCATCGAATCAGATAGAGCCCAGAGAGAAGCATATATGGCATATACAACGTGTATGTATTCTATTAAATAGGATATGTTTTTTCATGTTCAAAAAAGAATCATACAAGACGATGTGACTGTGTAAGACTCAACTCAACTCATTTTTACATTCATGTTTTTTTAATATAGCACATATTAAGAACAATATTAACATTTAGTTTAGATGCTTAGAGTTAAGGAAACACGAGACTAATTAAAAATGAATTAGTTGCGATTGTTTGAAGATTTGGTGGGAAATTAGCATGAACATTGCAAGGAAAGACCAAGTAGACAAAAACAGTCTCCGCTAAAAAACAAAAAGACATTTCCATGAAACAAGATTCAGTCATGGGATTTGAGGAGCACAAAGACAACCCATTGAGGCATTTTGTCAACCATGTGAAAGCCAAGAGTTAAAGGTATTAACATACATATTCTCATACCCTTTTAAGCTTCGGCAGAGGTAAGATTGAATTGGTTGATAAGCACAATCTCAGCATTAATTGTAGGAGCACCATGTGGGAAGAAAGAAGAAGCGGAGATGACTGGTGTGAAAACTTACCAAGACTCTCCCACAAAACTCCTCTCTGTGTGGGGGACCTATAGTCCATGAAAGAGAGATAATGAAGAAGGAAATTGGGAATAATGGAGCGAGAGAGATCAGGAAGAGAGAATGGCTTTGGGGTTGAAGAAAGTAGGTGGGGGTACATTAATTAAGTAATGGACTAATGTCTTGCTCCACAGAAACAAATGGGTCCACTATGTTTCAGCTATTGAATGCAACGACATGCATGAAAGGTCGTCGTTTTCATGTGTCAAAGGGGGCTCAAGTGGTGTGTGATGGGTCGTTTATACTGTTGGAGGTGGTCCATTTTGGTGGCCGAGATTGCGTTGGACCACATATTTTTCTTCTAAAAATGCATTTAGGTTGCTGCCATTGGGTTACTGTTGTCTGGTCACGATAACAAAACAATGGAATTCATTGTGCTTCACGTATGAGTCTATCCAGCAAAATAAAGATTGGTTTTTCAGGCTCAAAGTTTCAAAATTTTCATGCTGCATCTTATTGATTGTCGAAATCTGTTGTCGGGTAATTAGGATATTTTAATATCATAATTGAGTTATTGATCCCAATGGAAAAATGTTGTCCATTTAGGCCTTTTCTCTGGATATCGCATCAATTGCTGCGTCGCGGAGCTTATGAATATGCTTTTTGGACAGAAATGTTAATGTGTTGAGCTGGATAAGATCAATGGGGTGATTTCATGAACCCCATATCCTTGTTTTCGAACCGGCTTTCCGATTCTCTTGATGGTTCTCCAGTTGGTGATGGTATACATGACTCTTTTTTTCACTTGCTTTTTTTTTTTTTCCATACCACAAAAAAAGAAAAGTTCTTTTTTAATTAGAAGACTTAAAAGGCCAATGTATTGTTTCTAACTTTCTATATGCTTTTAATTTTTTACTACGTATTAGTCTTTTATTAAAAGAAATTTTATTCGAGATACTATTAAACATTAAATATAGACATATCTTTCAACATGAATTTAAGTTTTACTTTATTATGTTGTGAGAAACTAACCCTATACTTCTTTTTCATTAGAACCAATTCCCTTGGGAATACTCTTCTGCTCTTATTTATAAAGCGTTTCTAATATTTTTTACACGGACTAAGAAAAATCTTAAACTACATTAATTCTATTAAAATATAGTAACTTTCTAATTTTACCTCTATTTAATATATAAAAAAAGTAACTATTTATGTTATAATAAATGAAAGATAAAATAGTTCATTCATTGATTTATAAATAGAACAAAAAAATTTCTCTCTAACCTATAAATAAGACCAAAGGAGTATGTTTTTAATTTTAGACATGGCTAAAGTAGGGAAAAATATTTTATTTGCAGACGAAACTAACAAGCCAACCACCGCTCTTTGGTTCTCATGAGATCGTTAGAGGTTGCTTAGACCGGAGGAAGTATTCATTTTTGTACTCAAAGTTGTACACAAAAATACATTTTTAGCTCCTTGAGTTATGGTATTAAGAAAGGAACAAAAATATATATTTGGCCATGTTTTATGAGTTAAATGATTAGTTGGCAGGGAAAATTAAGAAGTTAAACGATTGAAAAAATAAACCTGAGATACCAAAACAAAACAGATTACACGTTCAAAGGATCAAAACTATACTTATTCCAAAGTATTTCTACCTCCAATCTTAATATAAGAGTTTGTTCAATAGTTGGATTTGATTGTAAATATAAAACCTCAATTCATTTTATTTTAAAAACTTATAATTTTTTTCTAAAAATTTTCTTTGATTGTAAAAATTTTCTAACAAATAATAGTTTTAACTTTCAATGCACATAATTAAATAAGATAGTTTAAAAACTCCACACATATTTATTATAAATAATTAATTTAATTAATTGCATTTAATATTTTTAAATTAATTATCTAAATCTTATACTAAGGAATGTAGGTAGTATTTAAATCAATTTTTTTTTCTTTAATTAGTGGACTAAATTCTATCTCTGTTTCTTTTTTTAACATAAATTCAAAGTTGTTCACTTTTTTAACCCTCCGCAAACATATCCGCTAAATGCGCTCTAGAAACTCAAGATAGACCCGAGCCCAGCACAGCTCAGCCCATTGGCCCACACATTGGTCCATCTCAATCCCATATTCGTGGGCTGCTGAAGCATAGCTGGATATTTGGGTTACACCAAAAGCAAGAAAAGAAACATAACGGTATAAATGGGAAGGTTCATGTTGGCGTTGTCATTTTAAAAAACTGATGTTTCTTATTCTTCTCGTATGAGACACCACTCCTTGTCTCCTCACGTTGTCTGGTTCTGTATATATGCAAAGTAGATACTCTTCCGGTCCTATATATAAAACCTAATTGTTGAGTTGGTTTTGATTTTAAATATAAGACATATTTCTCATATTTATTAATTTTCTCTAAATTACTCCTATGGATACTCCCTCAACCATAATCAAATAAAATAGGAAGATGGGGTATTAAGAAATATGATAATGGTATTTTAGGAAAAATGTGTCATATTTCTTACAATTAACTAACTTACCTAACTTTCTTAATTTAATTAAATTAGTTAAATGAATTTTATATTAAAGACCGGAGGAGTACTTTTTTTTTGCCCATCTTGTTCACATGTGATCCTTTTCTCCACAGTCCACAGAAGCAAACCAATAATTTCTCTTTATTAAAAAAAAAAAGCTGGGTCAGCATCTCTTGGAATCATTTAATTCATGTCCAAATGAACAGGGTTTATCAACAGAGATTGGATATAGTGAAATATGTTAATCTTTCACAATGTACTACTGTTAATAAATTAAAGTTTGGATTCTTATTAGAAAGTGTCCACATTTAGCATATATGGTTTTACAAAACTACCTCTCTACTCTAGATTTATAATCCCATTGTTAACTCCTCTCCCAATTTTTTTTTGGGTCCATGTTATCAAAACAATTTCTAAATTTTTTTTTTCTATTTATAAGACGTTTTGCCAAATCTAGGTTATGTTTGATATTTACTACTATTTTCTTTAAAAAACTGGCCCTAAAAAGTTCTTGAGGTTGCATTTGATTAATTAAGATAGAATGTGCGCGATTAAAAAATTGCAGTGAAAATAATTTGCGTAAAGATGCTGTCATTTTAGAAACAGTAATTGGTTTTTTTAATTTGTTACTACTAACTTTATTTTTTGGAATAGGGAAAAGCATGTTATTTAAGAACTAGTTGACTAATTTGAGTAGATTAACTAACTTATAATAAATAGGTGTTATCTTTCCTAAAATATTCTTACTAATTAAGTGTATTGGCTAGAACTAATATTATTGCAATGACTATTTTAAAAAAAATGGATAAATATGAAAGACAAAGTGAATTGAGATTTTATATTTAGAACCAAAATAAAAGTTAAATAAGCTCTTATATTAAGAATTGGAGGTAATAATTTTTTTAAAAATCTGTATGCATAAGTTTATTATACTTTTATTGTTGGCCCAAAAAACACTTATTGTACTTCTCTCTTATTTCAATTTTTAAGTAATTGCTTAATACTATCTCTCATCTTAAATATAAAAGATTGTAAAAATTTGATTTGGTACCAAAGATAAAATTTTAATTCATTTTCATGTCCCAT